AGTACAAAATTAATGAGCAGAAAATGAGAAATGAGCTTTAGTGAAAAAGGGGAATATTTTATTGATTTTCGTATCATGAAAATGAACTAATAAAAACCTCTTTTGGTCAAAAATAAAAATGTTTAATTTGAGACAAATGAAGTGTACGTAAATTCTTGTTATTTAATTGACTTTTATTGCAAACACAAAAAAAAATTGATTATTAAAACATTATTAAAAATTATTTTAAAAAATAAAGAAAAAAATTTATGAAAAAAATAGTAGAAAAAAGAAAATTAAAACAATAAAAAAAAGAGAGGACGTTTGTGCCAATTTTCAAAATAGGGACAGTGAAGCTATTCACATAATATTTGAAAGATATTTTAGTCTAGATGGACATTGACGTAGCAATATCAGAACCATGAGAGACGATGACGTAAGTTTTGAAATCATAGGGGGTAACGACGTACATTTACCAAACCACAAGGAGACATGGTGCAATAAACTCATAGTTATGTTACGGAGTATTTTAGATGTTAACAAGAGTAATGAGAAGATTTATGGAGAACAAATCAAAAGGGTTAATGAGAGAAAAAAAGGACGAGCCTTAGCCCTGATGTCCATGACCCAATATCATCGGGTAAGTTCGGGATCGGGTTGAGAGCTACATGTCCATGACCCAATATCATCGGGTTCGGGTCGACCCAACGAGTTATGACTTTCATTTATTTTTTGAAATTTTAAATAATTTTTATAATCGATTATCAATATTACAAAAAAACAAAATATACAGAAAATTTTGAAAAAAATTAGATAATTATGCGATATCATTAAAATTTTGTATGAAAATATAAATTTATACATTAAAAATGAGTAGAATGCAAATAAATATAATTAAAATCTCATTTTTAAAACATTATATTACATATTAAAGTATATGATTTTGAAAAAAATTCACATTAGCGGGTCTGTCAAGTAGAGTTTGAGTTCGGTCAGATTCAACCCATTTTTAACGGGTAATTTTGGGTTCGGTCAGCAAAACCTTTGATCAAAACCAGTATTTTTGAATCGGATTTCGAGTCAAAAACAAGTCGAGTCATTTTTTGCCAGGTCTAGTCTCTCCCTTTCATGTTATAACTAGAGTTGTAATCTCTTTTTAGATTGACCTAATATTTACATTCGGATAAAAAATGTTTGTGTGACTCGTGTTTTTTTCTAGCTTGTAAATCATTTGCAACAACAAAACTTAACTTTTCTTATTAAATTATTGTGTAAGTACGTTCAAATAAGGAAGAAAATTTTAAGACGAAAGATACGTTTACCTCAACCTTTTAACTTTAATTATCCATTTATCAAACTCTTGAGTTTAGGTTTGAAATCCAAAACTGATAATTTCAAAATTCCATGCCTTAATATTTTAATTCTCTAAACTCAAGTTAACTAAAAATAATAGCGAACAGAAGTCTCGAATCGCTAAGTCTCCAGCATGAAATTTTAAGTCTAGCGTCTCGGCAAGTACATAACTTCAATTTTATGATATTCTGACTAATAACTACATACAACGTGCAAATAATGTGCAAAATCTCATCACTTTTAAAATCATTTTAATTGTAAATTAATATGGAAATAAAAAATATGAATTACATAATTCAAACTGCACAAACAAATTTTAAAAAATAAAAATTGGAAAAAATATACAGAGTAATATTTTATTTAATGATGAGATGATCAATGAAAACATATACTCCATCCTTCCCTAAATATTCACAATATTTGCTTTTTCAGCAGTCGCGGGAACTTTTGTTTATTTCGATGTTTTCATTGGTTATTTGATAAAATAAAATATTCTTGACACCTCTTATTTTGAAGAACTTTTCATGTAGTTTTTTTATATGTAAATTTTATTTTTTATTTCTATACCAATATGTAAATAAAATAAATTGTAAAAATTTGATATTTTGCTTCGGGAATAAAAATGTGTCAAATAATTTGGGACGGAGTGAGTAAATAAATAAAAAAGTAAAGATAGAAACGTAAATGGTGAGAGGGAGTTTAATTTTGTCCAAGCAAGAGCTAATCATTCCCATGCATACAAAACGCAGATAATTAATTCGACAAATTGAGGGCCCAATAAAAAGGACAAAACATTAAAAAGGATATTAATTAAAAAGAAAAATAATAATTAGAACGGGGGACCAAATGACCATTCCTTGCATAGGGAGATGGAACCCGACCGTTACATCTTACCAAGGAAGGCCTTGACTGCTTTGTTCTCGTGCCTTTTTTTTATTAAAAAAGTTGAACCTCCAATTATGCTAAGCATAAAGCTTTTTTTAAATATCACGTGCATGTTTTATTTTTGTCACTAATTTACGATCAAAATATAATTTATCTTTTATCAGTGATCGTCCGGCCGAGTCTGTAGGGGTCCTCGGGGATGAAACTCATCTCTTTTTTAAAGATTGAACCTCAATCTCAGTGTTCTACTCGCATAAACCCACACTAATATATATATATATATAGGGATTGACTCTAGTGAGATGATACATTATGGTGCGATGACATGCTTCGGTCAGATGACGCAAAGCTCACCACTGCCCACTGCAAAGCTCACCAAGCACAACTACAAAGCTCACCAAACTGTAAGGCAAAGCTCACCATATTTTTTTCAACACTTTGAACTTTTTTTAAAAAAAATAAAATCAAAGGACTAGACTTTGACCGTTGACTCCAGCATTGACCGCCGCCAGTCGCCGGCCGCCGCCGCCATACTCTGGTCGCCGGTGGCCACCGTTGACCGGTGTTGCTATTTTATTTTTAATTAATTTTTTAATTTTCAAAATTGAAAAAAGGTGAGTTTTGGGTTCAAAGTGGTGAGCTTTGCTTTATTTCCAGGTGAGCTTTGCATTGTCCATTGGTGAGCTTTGTAGTGTAGTGTGGTGAGCTTTGCGTCATCTGGCCGAAGCATGTCATCGCACCGTAAGGTGTCATCTCACTGGAGTCAATCCCATATATATATATATATATAAAATACTCCGTATATAAATAAAATCTCTTTGAAGAAACAACCACGTTAGGTCTACTCCAAAGAATGTATCCTAAAGCATATCCCAAAGTTTTAAACTTACATTTTGATGGCTTAGATTGATACAAAATATCAGTGTGATTATAAAATTTTGCATTAACATTTTGTATCAATGTAAGATACCAATCTTGCACTTATATTGATACAAAATGTAAGTGTAAACCTTTGAAGTACATTTTAGGTACAATCTTTAGAATATATGTAGAATTATACTTGAATAAAAGTAAAAAATGTCTTTTGTTTGTGCAAGAATCTCAATCATATTATATTCATTTTTTATTGCCGTTATCAAGACTCAAGTACGGATTTGCCCCTGTGTTACTGCCTTCTCGATTAGCTGAGCTACACCCCAGACAAAAACTATAGAGGGAAAATGTTTTATATTAGCCAACCATGACCTTTTGGCCCTATCACAAGAAACCCGGCCTCCGATCCGGCTTGGACATACGGTTTAGTATACATCACTTACCCCTACTTGTTTGGTCATACCCAGCTTAGGCTTGGTTATTTTAAGAGCGTCAATATTAGTGACTCTGGCCTACAAAAGTGTAGAAAATAATAATGGAGAATGATTCTGTATTGAATTGTTTTGGAGATTACAAAAACTCAACTCTCTTTATATATGAAGATCGATGATAAAACAAATAAGTAAAATTCTATTTCTATAATAATTATATTCTTTCTAAAACAAGAATTAAACTAACACTAGGAAAAGACCAAAGAAGTACATCTTTAGCGGTTGAGGTGGGAAGTTCTTGTTGCACATGGAGAGGTGACGGGGGACCAAGAGCAACTCTAGGAGGGGTTACACTACATAGAACCACATAGGAATGCCAAGGAAGTGCAATATTTGACTGGTAAGTAAGACACTCATAATCACTTCCTCTCCAAAATCAACGGTCAAACATTCCAATTATTTTAGGTTGTTAATAAGGTGAAAGTTTAGTGTTGACTGAAAATTGTCAAAAGTCATTTGAGTCCCTGTAGACACGTTTATTCGTCCCTCTCGTCCCCGACCTCGAAGTTGGAATTTGGAGAGATGCTCATCTTATATTTGGGATTTTCTCTTCAAGCGATTTGTTCGGTCCTTGTCTTTACGAACACCTAGTGTAGTACGAGACAAAGACTCTCTGTGGCACTGAATTAGATAGTCACTAGTCTAGAAGACCGTACTTGTAGTAATGGTCCACGAGCTCACTCATTACTTCTAAACAACCTTTAGTTTGTACATCTTGTTAACATGTCATCACTTCAAAAGAGATTGTAACTTATCTCTTCTTATCGCTCAAAATTACGAACTCCGTAATTGAACGATAGGAAGAGAGTGGGGCCCAAGTGAGGCTTTTTACACGTGAGTGGTGTAAACAAGTAAAAGCACTTGCATGCGCGTCTTTAAAGAATTCATCATCATCAATCATCATCATCTCCCATTTGCCGTTCATACTCTCAATCACTCTTTCTTTGCTTCACCTTCCCTTTTCACCCCTCTAATCAGTAATCTTATCTGCTTTCAAACTCACCATTCACGTTTAATGTGTTGAGCCATAGCAGCATCCCTTTCTTTCTTTCTTTCTTTCTTTCTTTCCCTAAAGCCCTTTATATTGCTGCTCCGATCCTGTCCAATAATATAATCAATTCAAGGAAAGAAAGTAGCTGCTTTTTTCTTGCTTTCTTTTTTCTCATCTAAAAAGCTTCATACGCCTCCTTTATGGTCCATTCAATGGTGGGTTTTAATAAAGCTCAAATCTTTATTAGCACTTTTTTTTACCAGGCCTTGTTCCCTCCCCCTTTTAGCTGCATTATTTCTTTGTTTGCACATACACTTAGCTTCCATGTTGAGTCATTTTCACTGTGCTTATGTCTCAGTAAAAGATGGGCCGATTTCAGATTTTGATTCCAGTGATTTCTTCAATGTTTATTCCTTTTATCTGTTTAGGTCCCTAGCTAGTGAGTAGCTCTTATGTGTATAGGCTAGAGAGAGAGAGAAAGAGAGAGAGAGGACACGGTGCATATACTATTAATTATTTGTTACTTTCAAGGCGTTTTATTCTCTTCTTTGAGCAGTCAGATTTGGTTTCACACCTACTCTTGCTCCGTTTTTGTGTCTTTTTTCCCTTGGATTCTCTACATTTTTTCTGTTTTATTCTCCTAAAAAGCTTTGGTTTTGGTCTTTTGGATGTGGGGAGTTTGGTCAAAGAGGTAAAAGTTTGAATCTTTCTTTCAATTGATTTACCAACCGGTTGAATTTCCTCGTCTTCTTCCTTGATTCAAGGACTTTTGGGTTCCCAACACAGGCAAACTAAACTACCATCCAATTCTTGGAAATGTTTTTCATTTGTCCCAGTTCATAATAATTTCTGCAACCGTCAGGGGTTTGCTGTTGGCAATGGGTTAGCCCAAAGAACCGAAAATTCTTACTGTATTTTCCAGTTTTGGCGGTGAATAAGTTAGTTTTTGTTTCTATCTATGCAAATAAAATTGATTTAAAAAATTGGGGCTTTTGTGTTATCTTGTTCTTGTACTGTTTTCAGTGAGTCAGTAGTAATTAATGCATTGCCCATAATTTTTTCTTTTTCTTTTGCGTATGGAAGATTTGGCTCTGTTTCATCAGATTTCTATATTTGTATACAAATTTTTTCCAACAAGTTTCCTCCTGCTGACATCTCTTCTCTTTCTCATCTTCAGGAATCGATTTAACTCCTGAGCCGTTTCAATTTCTCACTTTGCCTTGAGATTTCACCGCCATGCCTGCGAGGCAGATGAAGGAATGCCCAGAACAGCAGTTTGTGATCAGAGCCCAGTTTCAGAGAAGCAACGGAAAGGGCCAGCCGCCGCCGCCGAATCAAGAACCGGTGAACGGGAAAACCCAGAGCAAGAAATCCCCTCCGCCGGTTCCGGCGAAGAGCAGAGGGAGGAGGAGGGGGAGGGGCGGCCGGAAATTGGATCAAGGCGAGGCCTTTATGCGGCCAACTTCAAGGCCGTGCACGGCGGCGGCGGCGGCGCACAAGCCGGATGAAGGTGGGGTTGTGGTTGAAGTATCTGATTTGGGGTTTCCATGCTCGAGCAAGTCTTTGAGCTTTGCCTCTAGGCCTGGCTATGGAACTCTTGGGGTTAAGTGCATAGTGAAGGCCAACCATTTCTTAGCAGAGCTACCCGACAAGGACTTGAACCAGTACGATGTAAGGCTGCTTCCCTTTGGGTTAAAAAAACAAATCCAATTTGTTTCTTTGATCTTTTTTAAAATTTTAATTTTTTTTCTTTGTTTTACATTTTTTGGCAGAATTTCATTGCTATAATGGGTCCCTTAGAGCCAGTTTAATTATATGGCTTAATATTGTTTTCTTTTCTGTTTTTTATTGGAAGATGGTAATTAAGAGTTGAAAATTACTGTATTTGTGGGAAATGTTGAGTTATCTTTTGGAATTTTTTTCTAAAAATGTGATTAAGTAAATAATGAGTAAGGTCCCTTCCTCATTTGTCCTTTGCTTTTTGCAGCATTGAATTTATGTCTCCCTATATTTGGTCACCAATGCCATCTTGATTCTTGTAGTTCCTCTGTTCAGGGGACATTGTTTTCTAACTTGTTTTCAGTTCAATTAATCACTGTTCAGTTCAGTTTGGTAAATTTGGCTGCAAAAGAATAGATCTTTACTCTTCAGATATTCACCTTTTTCTTTCCCTGTGTTTCTGTTGTTTTTTTCTTGAAGGTCACTATTACACCTGAAGTCTCATCAAGAACAGTGAACAGAGCTATAATTGCAGAGCTGGTGAAACTATACAAGGAATCAGATTTGGGGATGAGATTACCTGTTTATGATGGGAGGAACAGTTTGTACACAGCTGGAGAGCTTCCATTTTCATGGAAGGAATTCACCATTAAACTCATTGATGAAGATGATGGAATCAATGGTCCAAAGTAAGACTTTCCCACTTTTTTCTTAAAGATGTGTTAATCTCAAGAGGAGAAAAGAGAGGAAATAATCAAAGTAGAAAGTTAATGGAAGATTTGGACTAATTTCAGGAGGGAAAGGGAGTACAAAGTAGTGGTAAGATTTGTAGCAAGATCAAACTTGCACCATTTGAACCAATTCCTTGCGGGTAAGCGGGCCGATGGCCCACAAGAAACTCTTAAAATTCTGGACATTGTGTTGAGAGAGGCATCAATGAAGAGGTATATATACATATAATGCCTAATGCTTTGGATTAATCTTTAGACCAAATAAGTTTAGTGGTGTGGGTGTTGAGATTTGAATTTTTTCAAGGTATTGTCCGGTGGGAAGATCGTTTTTTTCCCCGGATTTCCGGAAACCTCAGCGGCTTGGGGACGGTTTAGAGGCATGGTGCGGATTCTACCAGAGCATTAGGCCTACTCAGATGGGCTTATCCTTGAACATTGGTAATTCATAACTTCATCTCAAGTGTGGTTTTGTAGTGGTGGGCATTTCAAAGTTACTCATCATATACTCCATCCCAGTACATTAAACCCGCCATTAAGACTTTTGCGATACATTAAAAAGTTGAATGAATATGTACATACATCATGTCCACATTCGTTTCAATTTTTATGTATCACAAAAGTCATAATGTCTAGTTCAAAATGTGAACTGAGGGAGTACTCCGCAACACAATTATTACTATCTTCTCTACCTTAACATCTCCACTCAAAAATTTGGACCATTAAAAACAGATATGGCGTCTGCTGCATTTATTGAAGCCCTTCCAGTTATTGAATTTGTTGCCCAACTTTTGGGAAAAGACGTGTCATCAAAGCCATTGTCGGATGCTGATCGCATTAAGGTACGTCACACTTGTACACTCACTAGATTTAAAACCGATCGAACTTTTGATCATATATAAAAAAAGATGTTACATTTCCGTTGTCACGTCACATTTGACTTCATTTTTTTTTCAAGTTCAGATTAAGAAGGCTCTTAGAGGGGTAAAAGTGGAAGTGACACACAGGGGTAACGTTAGACGAAAATACCGAGTTTCTGGATTGACTACGCAGGCCACCAGAGAACTTGTGTAAGAGTTATACATTTTCCTTAATAAAACTACATGTTTTTTTTGTACAATTTATTAATTAGTTTCCTAATAATTAGATAATGCTGATTTTGGTAGGTTTCCTGTTGATGAAAACTCAACCATGAAGTCTGTAGTTGAGTATTTCCAAGAAATGTATGACTTCACTATCGCATATACTCATCTCCCTTGCCTTCAAGTAGGGAACCAAAAGAAAGCTAATTATTTACCAATGGAGGTGAGTTTCTTTCTTTTCTTTTCTTTTTCTTTATTTAAAATGTCACTTAAACATAAATTCCCACTTTGAGTTTTGGTGCACGATTTGACTTTATAGGCGTGTAAAATTGTGGAAGGCCAACGATATACTAAAAGATTAAGTGAAAAGCAAATCACTTCTCTTCTTAAGGTCACTTGCCAAAGACCAAGGGATCGCGAAGCTTCCGTTTTGCAGGTATTTAAAGTTTATAATCCAATGTCACATTTTTTTTAAAGTTATTAAACACTTTTTTCTTCGTTGTTTTAACGTGCCGCGCCATCCTATACAGACGGTGCAACACAATTCATATGATCAAGATCCATATGCAAATGAATTTGGCATTACAATAAGTGAAAAAATGGCTACTCTTGAAGCCCGGGTTCTCCCTGCTCCTTGGGTAAAAAAAACACTATCTCTTTTATTTACGGTTTCTGTAAAGAAAATATAGTTGGTTCTTATAACATCTTCTACTACCCTTAACTGCAGTTAAAATTCAGTGAAAGTGGAAAGGAGAAAGATTGCTTGCCTCATGTCGGGCAGTGGAACATGATGAATAAGGTTCGTGTTAGAACAAATTGTATAGGCGTCTTGAATATGTGCAAGTTTTACTATACATTCAAGTTTTGTCGAATGATTTCGTATGGTGAAAATGAAACCTTTACTTTAGGCCTACACATACGACACAAAATTACTGTATATTTTCTGTGGGTTTTGTCTTTAAAACTTTTCCTTTTCTCTCATTGAGCAGAAAATGATCAATGGGATGACCGTTAACCGTTGGGCATGCATTAACTTCTCTAGAAGTGTCCAAGAAAGTGTTGTCCGTGGTTTTTGTAATGAACTGGCTCAAATGTGTCAAGTATCTGGCATGGTAATCCGTCTTCCTAATATACTCAAATTTGTAGAGTTATGAGATTCTTACCCAAAACCAAATGGCAATGGGAAGAGTAACACATATTCGTACATATATGTCTTTTTTAAGACTGGGTTTATGAAGTCCTGAACAATATTGAAATATGTTTCAAAATCGTGCAGGAGTTCAACCCAGAACCAGTGATTCCAATCCATACAGCTCGCCCTGAACAAGTTGAGAAAGCATTGAAACATGTTTACCATTCGTGTATCAACAAGCTAAAGGGGAAAGAATTGGACCTTTTATTGGCCATCCTTCCAGATAATAACGGGTCTTTATATGGTACGAGACGTTTCTTTATTTCTTAGAGGACTAAATTAAACCGAAGCTAACTTTATTTTTGTTTTTTTCAATGGTAGGTGATATAAAGAGGATATGTGAGACCGATCTCGGGCTGATAACCCAGTGTTGTCTTACAAAATATGTCTTTAAAATCAGCAAACAGTATCTGGCTAATGTCTCATTGAAGATCAATGTCAAGGTACTATAAAAACACTCAGAAGAAAATGGAGCCCAATTCAGAAGAAACGAGTTTATGATTCCACTATGTTGTGATTGTTTTGAGACAGATGGGTGGTAGAAATACGGTTTTATTGGACGCGGTCAGCTGTAGAATTCCTCTAGTGAGTGATATCCCAAGCATCATCTTTGGTGCTGATGTCACTCACCCGGAGAACGGAGAAGATTCGAGCCCTTCAATTGCTGCTGTAAGGCTCCTCTCCATTAATCTCATCTTTTCTGGGTCTACAACTACAAGCTTGAGTTTTTGGTTGAATCAGTTTCTTGACAATATAATTAGATTGGTTTTTTGTGCTCAACATGTAGGTGGTAGCTTCGCAGGATTGGCCGGAGGTGACAAAATATGCAGGCCTTGTTTGTGCTCAAGCTCATAGGCAAGAACTTATCCAAGATCTTTACAAGACATGGCACGATCCGGCGCGTGGAACTGTTAGTGGTGGCATGATAAGGTTTTTTTTACTCGTTGCCTTCTCTTTCCATTCTTTTTAGGCTCCGTTTGGGAAGAAATTTATTCATTCTTGTCACTTTGTTTTTGCAGAGATCTCTTAATCTCCTTCAGAAAGGCAACTGGCCAGAAGCCACAAAGGATAATCTTTTACAGGTGTGTGTCCATGTCATTACTATGTTGAAGCTTTGGAAGAAGCTTTTTTTCTTCTTTTTACTATCTTCTGGTTGTGTTTGGTAAAGGGAAAAGGAAAGAGAAGTGTAAATGAGAAAAGAAAGGTTCCAAACCAAACACATTTAGGATATCCCACTCAAAAGTAGGATCTTGACTCAAAATGCATACAAACCTTACCCTCTACAAGACATTCAAGAAAGTAATAATAATGGAAAAGATTATACAAAATCTAATACCAAATGGTTGATAATCACAAGCAGGGATGGTGTGAGTGAAGGGCAATTCTATCAAGTCCTACTTTTCGAGTTAGATGCGATTCGGAAGGTACGGTTTCTCGAATTACTTTCATATGTGTGCACATGGATTATGTTTTCTTCCTTGTTTGTACTACTTTGTATACTTTTTCTCTACTTCTGTGTTTGAGCCAGTGGTTTTTTAGAAACGAGCTCTTTACTATCAAGTAGCGATGAAGTTTGCCTACACACACTCGTCCTACCCTTTCTTTTGGGATATTTACTTGATTTGTTGGTGTTTCTCTCTCTTTTTTTTAAATATTTTTGCATTTGACAAAAGGTATGTTCTTTGTGGTGTAGGCTTGTGCGTCGTTGGAGCCAAATTACCAACCACCGGTGACATTTATCGTGGTGCAAAAACGGCATCATACCCGACTCTTCCCAAACAATCATAAAGACCGTAGCAGCATTGATAAGAGCGGGAACATACTGCCCGGTAAGACTCGATTGCATTTCCCTTCCAAAGATATAAAACATTGAGCAATATAAGTGCCCGTTTGGCGACTACTTTGGCATTTTGAAAATGATATCTAATGCCAGTGTAATCTGCAACATTAAAAAATAATTCAAAAACGGTGTTTCCAAACAAGGCCCAAGTTATCTGTTTTCGTTTTTCCTCAGGTACGGTCGTAGATTCAAAAATCTGTCACCCTACGGAATTCGATTTTTATCTTTGCAGCCATGCTGGAATCCAGGTACTGTTATAATGTTTGAACGTTGTTGTAATGAATCCCAAATTATACACTTTCTAATACGAAGTTCGAAATAAGTGACAAAAAACATAGTATATATAATGTTTGAACGTTGCAGGGTACGAGTAGGCCAGCTCATTACCATGTCTTGTGGGACGAAAACAACTTTAGCGCGGATGGGATTCAGTCGCTGACAAACAACCTCTGTTATACGTATGCGAGGTGCACCCGCTCAGTCTCTGTTGGTAAGTCAACTGTCTTCTTATGTTAGAAAATAAAATCTTTTCTCGGGTCAACAACCACAAGCTTAAGTTGGTTGCTTGACATGATATCAGAGCCATTTTTGCATCGGCACCTAATCTATAACCTCTTTTGCATCGGCACCTAATCTATGCCCCCCAATAACTCCCGTATAAGTGGTCTCGTTTGATTTTGCTTGCTTTTTTGTTTTGTATTTGAGTTGGGGTTTCCTAGAAACAGTCTCCCTACTTTCAAGTACAAATTCCAAGTACAAATACCCTGGCCCAGACCCTACTTTTGTGAGACTGAGGTTCTTGTTAATCACAAAGTATATATGTTGTATTTGCCTCCTTTTGACAACAAAATTTGTTGTCATTATATAACAACTGAAAATGTCCTCCGACCCCCCCCCTCTTGCCTCCTCACCGAAAATGCCGATTGAATACAATGAAGGGAGGAGTTAAAGAGGTAAGAACCATCAATTCTTCAAACAGAACACATAGGCGCTGTTCTCATATCACGACATTAATACTTGTCAAATGAACCGGGGCGCGATGTTGTGTTAATAAACCGTTGTCACGTGCAATGCAGTCCCACCGGCTTATTATGCACATCTGGCGGCGTTCAGGGCGAGATGCTACATGGAACCGGAGATGTCGGAGGGTGGAGTAGGCGGCAAGAACAGTAAAGGCGGCGGCGGAGGAGTACGGGCGCTTCCGGCGCTGAAGGAAAACGTGAAGAGGGTCATGTTTTACTGCTAGGGAATGGGTGAATGACATGTGAAATAAATGAAATGTTGTAATAATAGTCACTAATTAGGATCCATAAAAAAAAGCAGTGATCAAAAAAGAATGTGGTGTGTAATTTGTGTATATTCCATCAGTTGAAACATCTTTGCATGGGCTGGAGATCACTTTTGTGTAAATGGCAGCTTCTGTTTCTTTTAGTGATGAGTTTAGTTGATTATCTTCAGTTCCTTTTTACCAATTCTGCCCTTTATTTAATACTCCCTCCGTCTCCCCTGTATTTGTCCACTTTCATTTTTACACCATCTAATGCACTTCTTTAATCCATTTTATTTTGTAATTTGTATATTAAAAAATTATAGAAATTATATATTCATAATTTATATCAAACAAGATTACACATGACTATATTTAGACTTATACATTGAGAGAATTTGATGAGTTAAAGTACTTAGATGAACAGTTCCAAAAATCAAATGTGGACAAATACAGGGAGGCGGAGGGAGTATTCCGTATTTTTTTCGTCTTAATCAAAGAAATCAAAGAGTTGACTTTGATTCATGTTCTTTATCTTCTTCATTATTAATTTAATAAAATAAAATCTTGTCATTTGTTGTTTCGTAGAACTTTCGATATACTCCTCCGTTCAAAATTAAATGTTCATCATTCGCATGGTCAAATTTTATTTTATTTTTTTTCTTTATTTTTGTTTATAATTTGATAAAATAAAATAGTCATGTTAGTATTTGTTTTGTAGATCTTTTGATGTAGTATTTAAATATATAATTTTTATTTTTTAATTTTACACCATTTGTCATATAAAATGATTTGAAATTAATTTTAGTCAAAAATCGTAAATCAAAACAGACTATAAATTTACATGGAGGATATAGTTTTTAAATATATACTCCGTATAATTTTCTTTTTTTGAAGAAATAAATTTTATTTTTTTAATTTCACATGAATTTATAAATAAATTTTCAATTGCAATTTAAATTGGAGACGAAGAGATGCACACGTGAAAAGATTTCAACCGTTAATATCCGTCACAACTCACAAGTATATAGACATTGGGCCTGTTTGGGAATAGCGTTAGAGATTAGCGTTAGCGTTTTCAAAAGGCTATCTACGGGTAGCGTTTAGCGTTAGCGTTTTCAAATTAATCTTCACCGTTAAAATTTTATCCAAAACGCTAACGCTAATCTCTAACGCTATTCCCAAACAGGCCCATTAACATAAGAAGGTTAGAGTTGAGTGAATAATTTAATTCAACTACTTAGGGCCTGGTTGGAGGGTAGACAAGGGTAAGTGAGGAAAATGGATTCCCAAAAGAAAAGGTTAAAGTAGAAATAAGACATAAAAATATAGTCCGTATTAAATAAGAATTCTATGTTTTTATAGAAATCATCATAAATAAAACTAAAACATAGAGAAAAGTACAAAAATAGGACTTTCATGTTTTTTTCCCGGAATAGGACTTTGCACTGTGGTAATGTGACTTTGCATTGTGGTAATGTGGCAGTGTAGATGTGCAGATTACTATACTTTTTTGGTAATGTATATGACCATGTTTGGTAATGTAAGTCCTATTTCGGAAATAAAAACATGGAAGTCCTATTTTGGTATGTTTTCAATGTTTTAGTCCTACTTTGGTCTTTCTCCCATGTTTTTATTCTCAATACATTGCTTTTAATCATAATCATATACATTACTGAAAAAGTTATAAAATGTCTATATACAATGCTACATAATCATAGTGTAAAATCTTACTTCTTCCGATCCAATTTAAATTAGTTACTTGATACAATAATATAGTTATGTTACCACTAGTTTTGTAGATTTTTTGATGTAGTTTTTGAAAATGTAATTTTTATTTTTAAATTTCTACATTATTTTTATATAAAATGATTTAAAAATAATTTTAGTCAAACATCGTAAACTGAAACCGATAATTTAAATTGGGGAGGAGGAAGTATTTTAGAAATAAAAATAGGAAGTTTCTATTTTGATACTTTATCTATGTCATACTTATATTTATGGTGATTTCTTGAGAGTGAAGGGTAATAAATGAGGAAAAATAGACTCTTCAATCCTACCTCCATTTGGTAATGATTTAAAATGGAATAAAATGTAATAAAGATTGTGAATTACAAAAATAATGACATGATAAAAAAATTAAAAATTGATAAATTAAAATAATTTAAAAACTATAGTTGTGTATATTATGATTTGGATGTTGTACACTCTTTTTTAATCCCAACTTTGCCATTACACCGTTACTAAGATGTTTCCTTCAGAATTCACGTCACATTTATATTCATTCTCAAATTGCTAATAATTATTCCATAAGTGATATTGATTAAATTCTTTTAAGTTTTTTTTATCTACAATGTTGAGATCAGAGTATGCTTCGAGGTGTGTGAAATGTTTCATTATCAATTTCTTTGTCATTTTTTTAATTTAAGCAATTTTTTCATGTTCTAAAATCACCAAATGGTAGTATTTAGGGCAGAACAATCACGCGGGTATTTTTTTTAGTTTATTAAATACGTACAACTCAAGAATTTGGTAGACCATTCTATTGCTAATCACCAAACAATCCGAACAACATTCTTTAGGTAATTAGAATTCAATTCATCAATTTTTTTATGCAACATCTTTCAATCCAAAGATGCCACTAAGGTTTAACAAAATTATCATACTTTTCAATATTAATTCGGGAGGTGGGAAATCTTAATTTGTCAAATGAAAAAAAAAAGTTCAAAATGACTTTTATTTACCATGTGTTCAATTCTCATGATTTTTTTTATTTTACACTTTAGTTTTTAAAGTAATTTTATAAGAATGAAATGTTCTCATTTTGGGAGAAATATTTTCATTTAAGTTGATTTTGAAAATATTTAGTGTTTTTTGGGTTAGCAGAAATTTTGGTTGGTTGTTTCCATTATTGACAATAAATAAGGTCGTTTTATATAATAATAGGTACAATTAAAAAACTGGTACGTAGGGAGTTTTAATTTATGCCTAAAAGAATGAGTTTACAACAAAGGCAAATTCTTCTGTGGTCCTAAGGTCCACACTTATTTTATGCACCTTAGTATATAAATAATATGGACGAATTGGGCTTTTTGAAAAAAATAAAAAATTCTCATATCGTTCTATAAAAAGTGTAAGAAATATATATTTCATATGTAGACCTTATGATCATTGAAGCACTACTCTACAACAAATTGGGCATAGACATTTTTTTAGGCCGAAGTGTTTCAAAAGAATGAAATAATTTTATTTAGGGAGAAGTGTTTTCATTTAAGTTATTTCCTAAAAAATGGTCTTTTTTGGGTTACCACAATTCTTGGTTATTTGTATCCACTAGTCATAGTAAATGAGGTTTTTTTAATAACAGTATAGGTACGAGTCAAAAATTGGGACGTGGGGAGTTAAATCTTTCCCTTAAAGGTTAAGTTTACAAATGAACTTGGGATATAGGTAGTTTTAATTTTTTATATAGATAAAAATCCTTCAAAATGATATGTATTTATACACACACACACACACACACTTAGGCTGAAACATTTTCAATTAAGCTCATTTGAATCCATTCATCAATAAATTTGTTGAACAAAATAAATATACTTTTACAAATTAATTTGGGACGTATGAAGTCTTTATTTATCAATTGATAAACGAAAAATGATTCAAAATGACCTTCATTCACCACATGTTCAATTCTCATGATTTTTTTAAACACTACGGAGTATAATTTTTTAAATAATTTCATAAGAATGAAAAATTTTCATTTAGGAAGAATCATTTTCATTTAAGTTTATTTTAAAATTATTTAGTGTTTTTTGGGTTGCCAGAAATATTAGTTGATTGTGTCCACTACTAAAAATAAATAACGTTTTTTTTTCTAAAATAATAATAGGTACGAGTGTATGACTAAAAATTTGGGACTTGGAGAAATTTAATTTCTCCCTAGAAGAATGAGTTTACCAATCAAATTGTAACGTAGGAAGTTTTAATTTATATACACAGAAGTGTTTCATAAAGAATGAAATGATTTCATTAAGAGAAAAGTGTTTTCATTTAAGCTGGTTTTAAAAAATAAGTCTTTTTTGGGTTACCATAAATCTTGATTTTTTGTATCTATTTTTCACAAAAGAGAGATTTTTTAAAGAAAAATTATAGGTTCGACTCAAGAATTGGAACGTATGGAGTATGAATTCGTCCATAGAAGAATCATCTTAAAATTAAATTGGAACGTAGAAAGTTTTAATTTGTTATATGAAAAATGAATATCCTACAAAATGACTTGTATAAAAGAAATCCTATGGAAGGAATCATTTTACAGTCTTTGAATAAATAATGATTTGTATCTAATAGATGCATTAGGAAATAGAATACTATTTATTACTTTTCTTATTATATTATTTTCTTATGGTATTATTAGTATAATTCTTCTCCCACTTAGATTATACTCCGTAATTCTTCTCCTACTTAGTGGCTGTTTGTTTCAACCTCTTAATGGTTCAGATGTCTGAATGATTCAGCACTTAATGGTTCAGACTGTTTGTTTCAGCCTCTTAATGATTCAGATGTCTGAATGGTTAAGAGATTTGCCTCTGAATGGTTAAGTATTATACAGAGTCTGAATGGTTAAGAGCTGTTATCTGAATTGATCAGACATTTGCCTCTGAATAGTTAAGCAATATACTAGCTCTTAATGGTTCAGACCTCTTACTGGTTCAGCACTTAATGATTCAGACCTCTTACTGGTTCAGCACTTACCCATTCAGAAGTTGCCAAACAGCCCCTTAGATNATTCAGATGTCTGAATGGTTAAGAGATTTGCCTCTGAATGGTTAAGTATTATACAGAGTCTGAATGGTTAAGAGCTGTTATCTGAATTGATCAGACATTTGCCTCTGAATAGTTAAGCAATATACTAGCTCTTAATGGTTCAGACCTCTTACTGGTTCAGCACTTAATGATTCAGACCTCTTACTGGTTCAGCACTTACCCATTCAGAAGTTGCCAAACAGCCCCTTAGATTATAATTCCCTCTTGTATTCCGACCAATTATTCTTAAATTATATCATGGTGTCAAAGCTAAGGTTCTCAAAAACCTAGTCCTTCCTTTTTCCGACCGAGCACATAGCCGGTCTCTATTCACGGCGATTGTCCGACAGTATGGCGTCACCGACCAAAAGCCATCGTCCATTATCTCCCTCTTTCTCTCCAAAAAATTCAATATTTCTCTCTTCTAAAAACAAATCATTTGCGTGATTGAAAAATGGGAAAGATAAATTTGTTTGTATTTTCTTCTAGAGTTCGAGATCAAAAAAAGCTATAGAGAAACAGAGAACGGCCAAAAGAAGAAAAAAAGAAACTCTCTGCCCCTTGCTCCAATCGCGAACAGTCTCACCAGAGAAAAACTTAGCTAACGTAGCTCAAGCTCATTCATCATGCAATGAAGTTCTGGCTCTCTACTTCTATACGTTATCCTCACAAAACTGCTACCACCGACTATATTCCAGTACCTGTACTCCAAGTTGCCCCTCATTACCGATTATCAGGTTGCAGAGGGATATTATGAGTGATAAATGTATTAGAAAATAGAATATTATTATTATTATTATTTATTACTTTCCTTATTATATTATTTTCTTATTTATTGTTACTATAATTCTTCTCCTACTTAAATTAGAATTCTCTCTTATAATTTCTATATATAGGGATGTATCTTTTATTTTTTTCAATAAGATCAATTATTATCAAATTGTATCAGTATCAAATCATGTTTCCTTGTTTTAGTATAATGTTTTTTTAAAAGTAGGAATGGCAACAACAAAATGATTAGCCATATTAAAGACAATAAGGTTGAATAGACATGCAAAGTGATAGTTGTTGAAAAACACGACATTAGAGACTTAAGGTTCAATCTCAATAAGTATAGGTTTTATGTGTTTTTGGATCAAGAGGCATTTTAATCTCGTAAATGAATCACTTATAATCTCGCAATCATAGAGGGACATATATTGTTAATTATTCTCATTTAATGTATAACTTTTTTAATATTAAGGTTCTCAGCTTCTTGCAATGACAAATAGTGGAGAAATAATTGCCCTTTGAATGTCATATGATAAACAAACAATAACTAATGATGCTTTTTCTATAAGTGTTTCTATTGCATAAAAAATTTAAATAAATTTATGGCAACAAGTGAAAGTGAATTTAAAAATTCATTATTAGAGACCTAATTTATTTACAATGAGAGGGGTTAAAAAAATAAGGACTAAAAAAATTAATAGCTCACATCTAATTCTATTCTTCATTGTATAAATTCTTGTCATAAAAAAGTTCATTATACGTTTAAACATCGCATTTTTTGTATTATTAAGTCATACTTGGTAGTATACATTTTAAAACTTCATTTTTGGTCCTCAAAGAGTATGCTCATGGTTCATGATTATTTCAAAATTTTTAATCGTCCAAAAACAACTGCATGCACATTACCTCATTGTTGGAATTAGAAAAAGATGTAAAATTTGAGACTACACTATGCTCATTTAAATACATTATTTACTCTAGTACTCTATTTTTACATAATGTCTTCTAAATATACAAGGGTATATAATTCAAATAAAAACCTCATCGTGTTGACATGGGCGTCGTATGAACAAAATTTGATATCAAAATTCATACATGCAAAAATCATGTTATTTGTCAGATAACCTTATTATGAATTTGGAATATATCAACCATGTCGATCAACTTTAAATATCTTTTATATCTTAATGTTATTCCCAACATTCTTGGAATTGATATTAAGTAAACCTTGATCGGACATTACAATCTGCGCAACGCGCATAAAAATGCTAGTAAATTAATAAACAAAAATAAAGGTCATTTTTATGAAAAGCACATTATTTATATTAAAAAGTAGAAGAAAATATAATAATGGTGTGAAATGCGAAGATAATGACATGAGAAAAAAGAATAAAAGCAGACAAATTTAAATAATAATAATGACTTTAAAAATACATTATTTTTAAGTCATTGTTTGGGGAAATTAGAAAAGTTTTAAAGAAATAAGAATAGTTGAAAAAATAGGATAAAATTAGAAGAAATTAAAATGAATTTAAAAAAGTAAAAATTAGAAAGAACTGAAAAAAAAATTACTATCCTACTTCATACTCCGTACCTATTTCGGCCCATGAATTTGTAACTGAAATAAGGGCCTGTATCAAAACAATGAAAACTGAAAAACGACTTCCAAAGACTATTAAATCCTATGAAAAATGGGCCTCTTCGATATAAGGGCCGGCTTGCTTTAAATGGATGTTTGAAAGGGCCTATTTAAAATAAGGGTCTTTTTGAAAAGCGAAAAATAGATGGGCCCACTCGATTTAATCCAACCTATACTCTTTTCACAAAATTGATGGTTTTTACCTATTCTAATCTACTTCCTAAACCCTCGAGTCTCA